TATATATATATATATATATATATACCACATTCGTGCAATTGTGTACTATTCCTCGCTTGTGCGTTGATCAAAAAAAAGTGCTGGTTCGGGTAGAAAGAAGCGGGGAAAATTTTTTTTTGTTACGGAAGACACTTATTTCAACTGAAGAGCTTATTTTTCTGAAATGGCAATCAGGTTAATCGATGCTCGAATAGTTAAAGTTCAACTGGTTAATCGTTGTTTTCAAGAAAATTAATTAAATGCAAATTAGTCGACGGCTAGTTCATTCTATGGATCGATCCAATATACTTCATTTCATAAACATAACAGCATTTGAATAGATATAAAATAACATCTCTTAACAGAGCTCATAGTTTTGGGCTTTTGTGGAAAGATTTGTCAACATTTTTTTTTGGATTACGTGTCATCGTCCCCAAGTTTTTTTGAGACAATGGCCAAAGGTCCAACAGCTCCTGGCTTGAAACTGTTCTCTTGCGCTGCCAGCCTCGAAGGCAGTAGGATAGCTTGATGCCTCTGGGCAGACTCATGCAATTCCTTCTGCATGACCGCCAACGAAACTTTGTTGGCACGCAACAGGTCCGCCATGGATATCATTTCGCCAGAATTGCGCCGTTCACCGTCGCTGTCGTATGTTGAATCAGCATCGCTACTGTCCTCACCTTTGTCTTTAGTACCCATTTTGCGGGCCTGCAAAAAACAACATCACTGTTAGAGAGGAAGAAATACTGTAGTTATTATAAATAGGTAGATTTCACACTTACAGTCACTGATCAAATTATTTAGACGCACTCTAAGATTCTATGTAAAATCTCAATTATCAGTTGATACTAATCAGCTTTATTGTTTTTACGCGAATGAAACCGGTTTGCACTTATTTGAGTTCGTGTGTCAATGGGTTAAATTAGACGATATATAATATAAAATCGACGATAGGACAAATTAGAGGATATATTATATAATTATAGAATATTAATTATATCAGGTATATTTGGTCTAATTAATATATTATAATAATTAGACCAAATTATTAGACGCATTGTAGTTTATTAATAATGACGTGCTTTGCAATAGTTCATATGCAATACTTTTATGTTCAAACATACAATGTCATGGGTTTTTATTCGGGAGATTCTTTATATACTTCCTATTTGTATTTATTTTTCACGTATTGCAGTACAATGTTAACCAATTGATACACGAACATAAACAAGTACAAACCGGTTTCAGCCGCGTAAAAACAATAAAGCTTTGTAGTATCCCCTGATAATTAAGATTCTGCATAGAATCCTATAGTGGGTCTAATAATATGACCCGGTACTGCATATATAGGGAGTATTATGAAAAGGGAGTTTCCGCCCGTCAGCTTCCGTACGCATCCCGTACTTAAGATTGAAACAACTGCGCATGCTCGCGTTTATTTTAGATGCTATGTATCTTTGCGTTATGTTGGCGAGATTTGCGCTACTAAGGCAAAAGCTGCAAGCACGCTGTTTTTAGCTGTTAAATGTTGTTTTTTTTGTATAAGCCTACCTTCGAACTAAAAACATGGACATAGAATGCGAATTTGGAGAAATGTATTGGTGAAATTTAAAAATGAATCGTATAATCTTACAACCATTGGTTTATTTATTGTTATAAATTTTTTTTTCGGATTTTTGTTTATCATTATGGTTGTCTAATTGCACTAGTTCCATAAGATACTAGACATATTTTCGCTGTTTCGAAATTAAAAATCAAAATTATAAATTATATTCGTTTTAACTACAGAATTTAGTTAAAATAAGTTAAATAATCAATAGAAGTTCAATAATTTTTGTAAATATTATAAAAAATAATAAGCTGCATTCTTTATCGCATAAATCATCAAAATTTATAACTTACCAAATTTTACTGCTAAGAGATCCGCAGTTTTATGTAAAGCAAAACATCTTGAATCGTATGCCTCAGCTTAAAGAAATAGCCTCCTACATCTATTGTAAATGCTTGTTTTGATTTTGTGGTAATATTACGTTAACTTATTTAACTTACGGATTTTTGCAAAATCTATTATTCTTACGTAAGTTTGGCATGTTTTCACAGGAGCATGCGCATTTCACCAAAACTGACGCATGCGTACTAGAATTGCGCATGAGTAATTACTTGAAATCTTGCGTATTGGGGCGTATGGAAGGTAACGTAAATTTACGAAATCTCCCTAATATCAAAAAAAAAAAGAAAAAAAATTATTCAGCAGGGGAAATATACAGATTTGCTCATTACTCAAATTTAAGCAGTTTAAAAATCACAGCTTTTGCGAACCAGGGGGAGCTATCAACCTAAAAAAACAAACGAATCATTTACGTTACATAACATGTTCTGGTTGCCTTGCCAATAAGCGAATGAGAGAAATTATATTTAGGAATTTAACTTAACTGTTCTTTTAAGTTTGTAAAGCGCGTTGTTTCTACTATGTATCTGTAAAGTGTTTTAGAAGGAAAAAAGAACAGTATTCTTAATATTTATTATTCAGTTAAATTATTAGTTCTCTACAATCTGGATTGTATTAATATCAGGCATTAACCTTCTTAGAATAGCTGACTGTATTTAAATTTTGTAAGGAACGGCCTTTGAAATTATCAAATACAATACAATAACTATTACTTAATTTAAAATTAAATTCGCTTCAAAAATATGTAAATTTGAAATAACAGTCAGTATATATCAAGCAGTCAGAAACAGCTTCTCATTTTCAAGACTTGCCTCACGTGAATGAGAATGAACAAAAGTGACTTGAAATATAAAAGTAAGTTTCCAACGAAAAATGGGAAAATGAAAATGAGAAACAGAATTAAAAAACCCCACAGTAGCATAGAAAGAAAAAAAGATGTAAAAAACAAACAAAAACAAGATAAGCCACAGTGGTCGAGAGAGGCCAATCAGGGCGAAATGCATTCCCATGTGTTATGGAGAGGAGGTGAGAAACTAATGTCCTTAACTAGGGAATCAGCATTCATATGAATATAACAAGATTCCAGAACATCAAGATGAGTTTATCTAAATGCATAGGAAATAATTTTGGCAATGTCGAACTTGAATTTATGCCCAAGATTTCAACTATGTGCAACAACTGACGAATGATTCTTGTATTTTTGATAACAGACTTATCTATAGTGTTCCATAAGTTTAAATTTTACGACGCTCCTAGTTTGTTCCATGTAGCCAAGGCTGCAATGATAAGGTATGTGGTAAGTGCTCCCAATGAATATCAAAACTTATAGGATCTTTAAGAGATTGAAATTTAATTCTGATAACAAATCTAAATAGGTCTTAAAAACCAATACGAGCGAGGATATTAGCACTTTTACAATAAACAGGAGAAAAAAAAAGATAAGGTAAAAAGTTCTCTGTAAAGATTAGAAGAAGAGTCACCTTTGGGTTTGGTGACTTTACCAACCGCCGAATCAACGGTAGAAGGATTAAATCCACGGAAAGTTTTCCATCCCTTATCCAATCAGCTTTTGAAGTTTTGTGAAGTCAAAAAGCTGGCATTAGATTATGCCATTTTGTTGTCCGTTTTCATAGATTTTAATCCAAATAAATTAACCTGCTAGGGCAGGTTTGTGTTATTGTATTTTTATTTGATTTTATTTAGTAATTTTGCATTCATGTAAGTATGATTTCATAATTTTGAATAATTATGAACAATGCGCATGAGCAGGTTTTTCATCCGACCAATCAGTGACATTCGAGAAAGTGTCGACGAATCATCCAATTGCTCGGATTCAAGAACTTGGACAGTGTAAACAGGTCTTTCACAAATGCTGACTTACTTGAGTTCTGAGATGGTATGGCGTGATGGCGTTTCGTCTTCCCCTTGCCAGTAGTTGAGGTCGCCCGGGTGGTTTCCTCGGAATGCATTGGAAGTCGAGACTCTTCATGAGCCAGTTCAGAAACTGCTTGATTACAATAGATGTGACATTGAACAGACTGTAGATACAGCAACAGCCACAGATGACGAACACGAAGTTGGCTAATCTGTAGGGGACCTGGTGGGGATAGTCAGCTTCTTGAGATGTGACCAGGTCACCGAAGCCTATCGTGGAGAAAGTGACGAAGCAAAAATAGAGGCACTCGAAGTAGGACCAACCTTCCATGGGACTGTACACGAAGGAAGCGGACACTGCAATGATTATGGTGGCCAAGAAGAGGTACAACATCACCCAGTAGACCTGCAATGCACACACAAAGATTAGTCCACTCTCAAATTTTATCTGTAGTAACAACATTTTTCCTCTTTTAATTATAGATTTCATTAATTTTCTTCTTAAAGGTGTAGTTGCCTTTAATAACAAAAATATTTTGGAATTAAATATTTTTCGTAAGTTTTCAATTGATTTAATAATTATCCATGTGGGCCCATATGATACACACGTGGGTTGTGATCCCCATCAGAAACCCAGATTCAGTCCATATTGCCAATTCTGTGCTCAACTTAAACTAATAAACTTTGACACAAATTCAAAACGTGATTAAAAACAATGTATGCTTCTTTTTTAACGCATGGAAAAACCCATACCTGGGAAGTCTTCTACGGGTTCCATATTTTTCATGTGAAGCCAGTATAAATTTAAAAGGGTTGCCCTTTTGAGAATCTTTTATATTACTGACAAAGACTGCTTTGAAGGTGTCAATTAATTTTTCAAGCATAATAAAAACTAACTTAATAAATTCTTCTTAAAATTTTCTATATAACTGATGTATAGATATTATTTTTTGTTGATTAAGCTACTCTTTTTGTGAAAGGCATTTATTTTTCCCAATTTCAGTTTTTTTCTTGTCTCCAAAAGAGATTGTACTTTATTAAAAGCCGGTGAATAAGGATAAATGTAATTTCATTTTTTATTCGATTGATGTATATTCGAATATTTTAATTACTTACTTTGACTGAACACGGTTTTTCAAAAACTTTAATATACAAGTAAATGTTATAAGATGGTAATTAAACAGTTGTATGGTAAAATATGACAAATTGGGATTACTTTTTAATGTACAAATAAAGATTAGATGTTGTGCTTTTAAGTAAAAACCTTTTATTTTGAATTATTATCAAAAGCCAAAACATAATAAATACAAGGAACGATATTAATAAGAGAAGTTAAATATTACTTTCAAATACAGTTAAAACTTTTATTTTATGGTGGTGACAGTTGTTTTTGATAACATTTTAAGTCATCCATGTTTGTATATAAAATCATGTCTTGTGATTTTACTAGCTGCACAAAAATGTAATAGCAGAGTAAAGTAGAGAAATATGTGATGCTACTTCATATAAATATTGGGTTGTTCGGAAAGTAATTTCGTTTTTTGGGGGTAAAAGGAAAGACAATTTTCGTATAATGAATAGATATTTTATTAAATTTTATATTGGCCATTCTTGTCCAATACCTTTTGCCATCTTTCTGGTAGTAGCATGATTCCACTCTCATAAAATATTTGGACTTTGCTGGCAAAAAACTGATTCAGGTGATTTTTGACCTCTTCATTTGAAGTAAATGTTTTACAGTTCAAAAAATTTTGCAGGGACTGGAACAATTAATATTCCGAACGTGCCAGATCTGGAGAATATGGTGGCTGTGGCAGTGTAATCCATTAAAGCTGTTAAAGCTTGTGGCGAGTGACCAAACTTTTATGGGGTCTCGCATTATCTTGGTGGAACACTATACCTTTTTTGTAGATTAATTCTGATATTTTCTGTTGAAGAGCATCATTCAGTTTGTCCTGCTGACGACAGTAGACTTCCGAATTAATTGTTGTACTATCAGGTAAAAGCTAAAAAAAATTATTCCTTTAAAATCCCACCAAACAGACAGAATCACCTTTTTTTGATGGATATTGGCTTTCGAAATGCTTTGAACCGTTTCATCTTTTTTGCTCCATGATTTCTTGCTTTTGACATTGCTATAGACAACCCAGTAATGATGCGCTAAAAAATGGATAATTTTCGTGGTGTTTGAGAAGCGAATCGCAGACGTCAAAGCGACGACACAAATTTCTCCGTGAGAACATGGGGAACCCACATATCGAGCTCTGAGGTTAAACCCAGACTTTTCAAGAGGTCCTAAACAGTTGACTTCGATAAATTTAACCTCTCACCGATCTCACGTGTTGTTACTCGCCGATTTGCATCAACTAATGCTTTTATCATGTCTTTATCAGCTTCCACCGGCCTTCCAGAACGTGGTGCATCTTTGACACCAAAATTGCCGGATCGAAATTTTGCAAACCAATTTTGGCACTGGCGTACTGTCAACACATCTTCTCCATGCACATCGGTTAATTTCTTTCTGGTATGAACAGCATTTTTACTTCTTCTATAGCAAAAAAGTAAAATATGACGAAAATGCTGCTTATTGCTCTCCATATTTAAAAGGGCACCAACCAAAAACTACAGCGTAGAATTGATTGAACTTTTTCACACACAAGCCTTACTATATCAGCTCTCAGAACATATAATGATAATACGGCTTAAGTGTGAAGTTGAGTTCGAAAAAAGTACAATTAAATCTTCGGAAAAACGAAATTACTTTCCGAACAACCCGATATTAATTGTTGTACGAAACAATTAAGGATATCTAAACTTATTTCATAAGTTGAACTGTGTACTCTTATTTCTATCTAGTAAAATAAAATAGTTTATTGCAAATATTTAACTATTTTATATTCGCTATGTAAGATAAATTCAATGAACAACATTACGTGGAAGCACGCGTGGTCTACGTCAGAAAGTTTAAATCAGAAAGGGTGACAAATAGTAATAAATAAAAAATTTAAATTATTTTAGCTTTATTAATTGAATNGACACCAAAATTGCCGGATCGAAATTTTGCAAACCAATTTTGGCACTGGCGTACTGTCAACACATCTTCTCCATACATAAATTAAAAAATAGTAATAAATAAAAAATTTAAATTATTTTAGCTTTATTAATTGAAGAGTGAAAGAACCAGATAAGCGACGACCAGATAGAAAAAGTAGTACCCGAACTGTTTTATTACCAATTTATTAGAAGGCGGAACTAATAATTCGTGACCTTATTTTATTCACCACTGCCTAATTTGAAATAAAAATAATTTTGATATGCAAGCATACTAAAAATTAATGTTTGTTAGTTTGTTAAAATTAAAATGAAGGCAAAAGCAATTCAGTCACATTAAACGTGCCACTATAGATGCTCCCGATTTATGTTATTTTCTCTGATTCACTGATTCCCATAAAATCTCACTTACTTGGTTCTTCCACTTAGTACTTCAACTGTGTAGATATATGTCTTTCAATTTTGTGCATGATTTCGTTGCGTTTCTCAGTACTGATTGATTGATTCTTTTCTTTCTTTCTTTTTTTTCCATTCACCCCGAGCGAGGATATTCTGTTGGTACTTCATATTTAAATAAATTTTTAGCATTTTTTTTTCTTCAAGAAAGCAACAGAAGGACCTTCGTAATTGCAAACCAATTAATTTTAAATCCATTACCTTTGGGGTTAAAATTATTTTGTTTGCAATTACAAACTTTAGCAGTAGAGTTGTTCAATTTGTATTTTAATTTCAAATTTTCTTTTGTTTCTAATTTCAAATTTCTTCTTACTATTTGCAAACCTTTTTGAAGCAGAATTATACCATAAGATTATTAGATTTGGAGGAAATTAATAGGGTATTTATCGCTGTATATGTTTAGATGTGCGTTATTAAATTAAAGAAAAAAACTATCGATGTATTTTGATATTTAAGTAATCTTACAATTCAAATTAAAATCGGAAAAATGTTTTCTCTACTTAATTTTTGATTTTGATAGAGTGACAGCTTTACAATTTAACGTGATAAATTTTATAAAATACTATAATACATTGTGGAAATTAGTATAAAAATTGACCCATTTTTTCAGAACCCATTTCGGATTATCTTTAGAGATACATTTGCTCTTTAAAGATACATTTGTTCTTTAAAGATAAAGATAGGCCCATTAGAGTAAGTCATGTGGGCCATATAAAAATTGAGAAATAATTTTTCCCCATTCAGAGTCTCGTAATGGTCTTCTCAATTAGCTTCATATTGGTAAATTGTGTATTCCCCATATAAAACATAGGCTTTATTTTTCAAGAGCCCGTATGGGTAAACGATATGGGTATGTTTGGATAGAATACATGGTTATATTGTGAGCCAGGTGGGTCTTATATCGACATATTTGTCAGGGCAATAATCGCTCTATATGCGCGAAATTTACAGGTATCCCCATATGGTTTTTCCACATGATATTGAAGTGAGTAATCTTCATGGGCCCCATATAGATCAGGGGGACGTTTCTATCGAAGTCCCACTGAGATAGACCATATAGCAGAGTTGGGCGTCGATCACACGATTACAACTGTAATTTATAACAGATAATTACTGCTATGTAATCAATTGCTTGAAATCGCGATTACAGGTAATTGTAATTACAAGTAATTATAATGTTTGTTTACATCAGAGTAGAGAAAAAATGTAATCGATTTCATTTTCCATTTACAGTAATTAATTATTTGTAATCATGATTACAACTGCAATCGTGATCACAGCACTCTATCACAGTAATAAATTACTTGTAATCATAATTTTGATTACAATTGTAATCGTGATTGCATAACCAATTACTGAAATCAATTGATGACAAGTAATCAAACTGATTACAAGTAATCAAAACATATGATTTCATGTAATCATGATTACAACTGTAATCAAACTTTTCAAAAGTTGTAATCACGATTACAGTAATCGACTATTGTAATCACGATTACAAGCGTAATCCAAGTTGTAATCACAGTTACATGCAATTGATTACTGTAATCGATTATGGTAATCACAGTTGTAATCAAAATTATGTTATCTTGTAATCATGATTGCTAGTAATTGATTACTGTAATCAAAAAATGTATTGGAATTATATTTTTGCCATATAGGTGTACTACTTGGGTACATTGGGTCTCTTTGATAAAGGAGGAATACTTACTGAAGGCTTCCATTCGTCTAGATTATAGTCAAAGGAGGATGTAGAATCCCTCCTGTCCAGGGATCCTTTCTTCCTGAGATCTTTCTCGTGTAGAAGGCGGAGGAGGTAAGCAAGAAAAGTGATGATTCGCTCCAGAAAGAGATTGAAGAAGAGGATCGCTCCCGAGCATCCCAGGAATCCGTAGAAGATGACCACCACCCGACCTGCCACCGTCTTGGGCGTTGTCATACCGAAACCTGAAACAATAGGTATTATACATTTGCTTAGATTTTCACAGCACAGTTCCCGTTTGTTGCGGATGGGATTCGTAACCTTCAAGGAACGTCACGCGTGAATCTCGATGCTGATGGGATGCTATTTCATGACCTTTGCTGAAAACGCGATTAAGCAGCCAATTAGGTTCGACTCCCACGTGTGACGTTGCTTGCAGGTACTCAATTAAATCTGATCTGAAAATTGAATTTAGCGTGACAAGAAAAAAAAGCATAGTAACTGCAACGGCAACTTGCCGTCTTGTTTATACACAACAGGTCAATTTCAGTTGCTTTCTCTCGAGTTGAGGGTACGCAATTATTCCTAAATTTTCAAACGGTGCTGCTCCCTAAACACAGGGTGTACCGCATAGGCCGCATATAATACTACAGTATGATTATAATTGAAGTTGCACTTTCAAAAGGCTGCATAAGGAATCGTTTGTCATTATTGGTAAGATTTGTACCTCTCTATCCTGCAAAAGACACCTAAGAATGACATCCCGTCTAAGAAAGTTTTGAAATAATTTAAGAGTTTCGTTCAAGAATACCGAATCGATTCGTATCGATAGAGGTTCCTGTTTCACTTTACGTGAATTTCAGAGGTTTTGCAATGAAAATGGCATCGTGCGAACATTGAATTCTAACATCCCATTCTCAAGAAAATGGAATGGTTAAGAGATAAAACAGAACGTTGTCTACTATTGTCATGTCGATCGAAAAAAAAAACGATCAAAAGCATTGGGCAGAAGGATTAAGGAAGTAGAAAGAAATTTGCGAAAAAAACTCTTGGAAAAACAACTTCTAAAATTCCTCATGGATATATAACAAGATTTAATGATGAAATTATGAAGCTGTTTGCTGATGAAGAGGGTGAAGTATGGAATGATCCAGGGAAGCTACAGCTCGAAACAAGAGAGAGAGAGAAGAAAAAAATCGAAAAGGAGTAAGAGAAAATTAAAGCAAAAAGAAATTTGGTTCTGTATCGTTTGACAAGGGAGAAATCATTGTAGTCACCAAGTGCGAGCCTGGGAATCGACGAAAACTCAATCATGCTATCAAGGACCTGTGGTTAATATCACATAAATACTTCCTAGTGATACATATACGATCTCTGAATTAAAGGTTGGAGATAGCCGCCTGTGTTCCACAACAGCGCATGTCAGTCAACTAAAAGCTTGGCGAAGCTAGAATGAGGATGATGATAATTTCAACGAAGATTCTGGTGAAGAACCCAAAAAAAGCAACGGCTCAAACGAAATGTGGGTATTGCTATAGTGATTTCATAAACTGTGAGAAACTTACCTTACCTTATCATTATTTCATATTATTAATCTAGTTAATTTTATTGTAATGTACTTTAAGTTTAGTTCAATTGAGGCCAATTGAAATGTCAGAATGGTTGAATGTAGGCACATTTATATTGTAAATTAGGAATGGCAACAACGATTGTGTTCGTTTGATTTGTAATATGAAAAAAAAACATTGTAGACCGTTGATACAAAATGTACTTGAATGTACGTAGTTACGAGTACGCCTATAATACCAGCAAATATTTGTTTCCTAAAAAGGATTTATTAATGTTAAATTAACTACATGAAAAGTCAAGAGCTGTTTAATTAGAACTCTTGCAGTTTTTAACATCTAAAGCGTTTCTATTAAGCTTAAAGAGCCCCGTCTGGGACGACCTCTAGTCATTAATCGCGATAATGGACAAATGAAAATTTTGTAGGTACAAATAATATTTCAAACTCGATTGACTGGAAAGTATTTGAAGTATAGGCTAGTTTCAAGATAATAACATGGAACTTAAATCGTTTTTCTGTAGCTTGATGGAGAGGGTTTTGAGAACTCATTATTCAGTTTGTGGAGAAAGTACTACGATGTGTATTAGTAATGCAAGTTTTTTTTTCAAATTTTATTTTATAACCGTCGTTGAACAGACGACCCAATTGTTTGGTTTACGACTACTAACGCTCAACTCCGTAACCCTGCAGTTTCAAACCCAATCCAGAAGACAAGGGAACTCCTGGATCTAGTATTGGGAGAAATTTGCCTTCGTGGAGTAATTTTTGATGGAACTAACTCACATTTGCTTTAGATGGAGAGAAAACCCACGAAAACCATCCACGGTTAGGCTGACGGCAAGGGGATGATCGGTCAACCACTGAGGATATTTTACATAGGCACTGAGAGCAGGGTGCGGAATTCGTATCGATCCTGCATTGAAAATGTCAATCTGACACGCGCTTTTTTGTCAGTGGGTTGTGTAATTTACATTTACGCGTTTAAAATCCGAGATCGAATCCCAGCGATGTCTGATCGAGACGAATTTCGCACCCGGCTGTCACAGACCACAGTGCTGACGCAAAATATACTGAGTGGTAAACGAATTATAGGTTAGAGTTTCCTTGCCCCCAGGCTAACACTGGGAGGTTTTCGTGGTTTTCCTCTCCATCTAAGGCAAATTCAATTAGTTTCATCAAAAAGCCCTACATGAAAGCAAATTTCTCCCAATATTTGATCCCTTGTCTTCTGTATTGGATTCAAAATTGCAAGAATACGGAGTTGAACATTCATAGTCGTAAACCCAAAATGACAGAGAATTACTCCGTTTTGTGCAACGTATTGTACAGTTCGAACACACAATTCGAACGAAAAGGAGCGGCCTACTGGAAAGGATTCAGAGATTGTCCATAAAGTTCTAAATGAAAAAGTCACCCGAAGCGGTTGGTGCATTAAAACACCTGTTGAATTAAAAAAGTATTTATGAACTTAAGTTTAAAATTTTACATTTTCATAATAATATTTTGATATAATATCTTTTATCAAAAGGTGAGAGAATATTATGTTTGTATTGAGATAAAATGCATCACCTACGTTGTGTAATTGGTTACATTAAAAAAAGTACCATTTCAATTTTTTCATATTCTAAATTAGTTGATAAAAAGAATAGGTATTATTTACTTATTTTTTCAAAAAAAAAGATGTTTTCTGTTATTGAAAAACAAAAAGAGTTTGAGAAGAAATTAATTTCTTTCAAAAGAGAACAGAGAAATTCAACAGAGAACTCGAAACGCGATGGAGAATAAAGTCGATACGTTTAGTATTTCTTTAGAATAATTTCGTACTTTTATAGATATAAAAACTTATTTACGAAGCAACTACAGTCAGACCTCTATTTAACGAAGTCACTAAATACCAATAAAAAGTTAACTGTATGGAAATTGCGTTAAATCGACAATCACCATTTCAAATACTTAAACAATACAAACCAGGTTTTAAATTCATAAACACTAGACATAATTAAAATAGCAATTGTAAATTGTTATCTGCTATTTATTTTATGAATATACTTACATTACATTTCAGCTACATACATTTTCAGCTAATAAAAGCTACATTTCCTGTATGAAATGCGAACAAAAAGGGAAAGTGATTTTACTGCTTTCTCTAAAAGTTAAGTGGCTGCGAAAATCAATTCAAGGTCATTTCCCCCATAAAATGCATTAACAAGTTTGAAATGTTCTGAAATATTTTGGGAAATAGGGAAAGTAGAACTCAAAGAAAAGTTCGTTAAATAGAAAATTCACTTCGCTATTTGGAACTTATTTTACGAAGAAATTACCAAAATGTTCTTGGTTCCTCGAAAAAAGATCGCAAAATAGAAGTTCGTTAAATAGAAGTCCGACTGTATTTAGATTTATTTCTGATCTTTTCTAAAATGGCAGTAGAAATTTTAGACATAAATGGTATTACTGGTGAAGTAGCTTGCCTTTTTTGAGCAAACATATAGCATATGTATGTCTATATATATGTACAATATTCAAAGTATTGCTGCAGAGGTGAGCAAGGGAGTAGTACAGCACGTAATGGAGCATTTTGATGAGTTTTATCGCTCTACGGTGATGGAAATAATTTTAATACTTTTAGTGGTTTGTATGGCTTAATGGCTACGGGACACATTGATAATTATTACTAAACTTCAATACGTAGATAACAATATTGTTTTAAAATAAAAAAAAATCTAAGTATTTTCGGGTTTTTACGTGACAGTTCCGTTGAATGGACAAACTCAGATCTTTGGATACAATTTTACAAAATGTATCCAAAAAGCGCGGAGACATTTTTAAAATTGTTACAATTAAAAACAAAATCGCTGAGTAATATATTTTGTAAAACTTTCAATATTTTTATTTTCTTTGTTTCTGTATTTTAATAAACTGTTCATTTGATAGAAAAATTAAATACTTTAAAAAAATAAGAAAATGGTATTCCTATTATTCGTTTAAGTCATTATTTGATTTCAAAATTGATTACTTTTAGCCATTTATTTAGCTTTTGTATGGTATTAAAAGAAAAAAAATATCTCAAATCATAAAAGACATTTATTTCTATGCAAGAAAGCGAAAATTATACTTATAATTTTCACACCTTATTTTTATAAAGCAGCGACAATATTTAAACTGGACCACGTATTATTATAACGGGTATTATAGCATTAACGGGCCACGTATTATAATATTAACGGGTACTAGTGTACCCTACAAGAGGAAATAATTATACTGATAAAATTACTAATAAAAATTAACATAGAATATTTCAGTTCATTTTCTTCTTGTTGTTTAAACATTCATAGAAATTTCTGCCTTACACATCATTCAGTCTGTAGGTGAACAAAATCTGTATTTTAAATCAAAATAATTTTTCAAAAGGATAGATCAATTTCATTTTTTGGACTTTTTACTGCTATTTAAACATTAAATATGTACATTTACCTGCAGCGAAATTTTCATCTGTAGATTGTGAATTGTCGAAATAAAGGAATTTTAACTTTACTTAAAATTCTCGGCATTTGCCAGAACACGAATAGATCTCGCGTATAGGCAGTGAATCGACTAATATAGTATTAAATGCATCTGTTGATACCGCCATTTAATGCACGTATTTAGTGGCAATTCAACTGCATCATTTGCTTCTCTATT